ATAAAAGGAAGCATTGATAGATTTGACAGAATAAAAATTGCTATTTTCAATAAAAATAGAAACCATTAAAACAAAATGTAATTTAAAGTTATAAAGCATAAAAAACTCTTTTAACATGCTTTAATACTCAATTCACAAAGAGCTTCTATAAATCAATTTTAACAAGATAATATTATTTTATGTGAAAAGAATACATAAAAAGTAATCACAAAAAAGAAAAAAATGACCAAAAAACTTCAGAAAGCTGCTCAACTCAAGAGTAAACCAAGAACACAATCAATCAACATTGAGAATCCATTATTAACTCACTTCAGTATATTGAAATTTTAAAATGTTGATTGCATTCTGTTCTGGAGAGGGTGTGGGAAAGCAGTAATTATATATTGCTGGAGATAGAAGAAAAGCATTGTGTAAAGTAACATAACAGTAGCTGATAACCTTTAAAATACGTGCACTTTGACTCAGAATTTCTATTTTAGCAAAGCTATGCTACAGATTAAAGCCTGAAATCATTGTAACATTATCATTATGATGTGATCAATGTTAGTTATATCTATATACGTCAGTTTTTACAACGATTATGTGATAATTTTATAAAAGCAATACAGTTTTTATAAATAAAAGACTTAAAGATTTTGCTTAGGAGATAAAGGTGGAAGTTAAGGACTGCAAAAGGAGCTAGCATTTGAAGGGGAAAAGTCTGAAGGGTAGGAAAATTTAAAGAAGAAACTAAAAAATCTGCATTCAAATCTCCACTTCACAGCTGCTAACAGACTCCTAAATTATATATATACATATAAACTGACTCCGAAAATTACATTAAATATAAATGTATATGTAATACCGTATTGGCAACAGTAAAAGTATATGCTGTTTTCTTCTGGGTTATTTGGTATTGTGAAAGGCCTAACAACCCAGAAGAAAGCAGCAGTTGAGTGACTGAAGAATAAATATCTGCAGCCACATAACATCAGAAAAAGAAATTTAACTTTTGTTCAATTTTTGCCAAAATGGAGAGGCATTTGGAGATGCTTTGGTATTTCTCAGCTGAGGTCTCAGAGAGTGCTGGGCTAGAATTAATGTGGCACTTAGTTCCATATTCTAAAAGTGAGGACTATGCCCTCAATATAAGAGCAAAATTTAGTTAGACCCTTCCTAACAAAGCCTACATCCAAAACTCAACAGGATAATGGTGATCTGCTAGTAATCTATGTACTTGATAAAATAAAACTTAGCTCCCTTTAGAGAAATTTCCATCATCAAAGGTCTCTGCCATGTTTCTTCTATCAGATCAAAAATTGCAAAGTGTACCACAAATAGTGGCAAATAGTTGAAACTTAAAGTAAAAAATAGACAACAGAAACAGACATCCAGATGATTCAGATGTTGGAGTCACTTGACAACAACTTTCAAGTAAATATGATCAATATATTCAAAAAATAGAAGGAAAAGTTGGGCAAAGTAGAAGAAAAGAGAGAGAATTTCAACAGAGAATTATAGTTTGGAAAAGTTAACCAAATAAGCATTCTAAAACCGAAAAATAGAAAATAAAAAATTAAAGATCTTCCAAAGTTCAAAATTCATGTGTTAAATCTGTAGATAATTTTTGAGGAATTTTGCTAGACACTGTTCTAGAAAAAGGAAGTAAAGTAGTGAACAAAACAGAATCTTCTGCATTATGGATTTTATGATATAATAATGAAAACAGAAATAAGTATGTAAATCTTATATTAGAAGGTTATAATTGAAGAAAATATTAGAAGGGAAGAAAATATGCAGAAAAAGTCAATTGAATGAAAGAAGTAACAGAAGAAGACATAAAATTTAAAGAACAACCTTCCTGGAAGAGGCAATAACAAATTTAAAGGCTCCAAGTGGGTAATTATTTAACTGCAAAGGAAAAAATGAGAATTTGACTGTGGCTATAATAGAGATGAAATTATACTGTTGATAGGACTTGAGATTTCACTGAGTGAAATGAGAAGACATTGGAGGATTTTGTTTGTTTGTTTGTTTGTTTTGAGTTGGAGTCTCACTCTGTCGCCCAGACTGGAGTGCAGTGGCCACTCCTGGCCACTACAGCCTCGACCTGCTGGGCTCCGGCGATCCTTCCGCCTCCGCCTTCCGAGTAGCGGGAATTACAGGCACGCGCTACCACGCCCGGCTGATTTTTTGATTTATTGTAGAGATGAGGTCTTGCCAAGTTGCCCAGACGGGTCTCCAACCCGCGGGCTCAGGCAATCCACTCACCTCAGCCTCCCAAAGGCGCGGGATTACAGGCTGAGCCACCGAGCCCTACTGGCCTTCAGACTTCTACCTGGTTAAGATACCTCCCTGTTTCTCTGTATTATTTTATTTTATGTATTTATTTTTTTGAGTTGGAGCCTTACTCTGTCGCCCAGGCTGGGGAGCAGTAGCACGCTCACGGCCACTGCAGCCTGGATCTCCTGGCCTCAGGCGATCCTTCTGCTTCAGCCTTCCAAGTAGCTAGAACTACAGGCACAAGCCACTGCGCCTGGCTAATTTTTCTTGATTTATTGTAGAGATGAGATCTCTCCAAGTTGCACAGGCTGACCTGGAAACCATGGACTCAGGCAGTCCTCTCACCTTGGCCTCCCGAAGTGCTGGGATTATAGGCGTGAGCCACCACACCCAGCCAAGAAATAAAATCTTATTCAATTTTCTTTTTTTTTTTGAGTTGGAGTCTCACTGTTTTGCCCAGGCTGGAGTGCCGTGGCATGCTGACAGCCGCCGCAACCTTGACCTACTGGGCTCAGGCAATCCTTCCGCCTCAGCCTTCCAGTAGCTGGAACTATAGGCATGCGCCACCATGTCTGGCTAATTTTTAAGTTTACTGTAGAGATGCGATCTTGCCAAGTCACCCAGGCTGGTCTTGAACCCCTGGGCTCAGGCAGTCTCTCACCTCAGCCTCCCAAAGTGCTGGGATTATAGGCATGAGCCACCACACCTGGCTAGGTTTTCTTATTAGGAGAGTAATAATGAAAACAGTTTGAGGAACACTGATGTAAAGTGACTTGGTCCTGGGCAAGCTGGTCATGGGAAGGTCTCAGCTCTTCTGGCCCCTCGGCTGGCCTTCTTTCTGTTGCTCCTGTTCAGCTTCTTTCCCTTTATTTCTCTGCCCTTAATTTTCAGACCTGTCTTATCAGGGGTTGGGTTTTACTGGTATTTTTCAAACTGTAGGTTAACCTCCATATTTTATTTAATAAAATAGGACAGGAAGTATCAACATGCAGAGTGAATCTTCTTTGTTTCAATTTCTGTTTTTTTTTTTTTTTTTTTTT